GCTCATCTGCGGATGTTGGCGAAGGAACGGCCAGTCTGCTGGGTGCTAGAAAGTTGACTACCAATTGCTCAGCCGCCGCTCCTGCTTTTGCTGTGGGAAAACCGGAATCTTCGTGTGACGACCTGAGCGCGCTTAGCATCTTTGATGGGTTGGCGGCCTGCGCGAAGTACCGTTCTGCGAGTTGCAACGTTGCCTCTGACGAAACGCCTGTGCGCGGCCCAATCGACCTTCTGCTGACTGTGCGGCTGGTTGGACTCGAAAGGGCGATGGGGCGACTGGCTGCCCCTCCAAACCCGCACATCGAACGTGATCCACGCGCGGCCACTGTACGGCGTAAAACGGCTAGCCCTCCTGCCCAAATGAAGAGAGCGCAGCAGCCTGGCGTCTGAGGCTCAGTAAAACGGCAGCCTTGCCGATGCTCTCCTCCTGGCAAGCGCCTCGGCGCTGCGACGGACAATATCACGCGCCAAACGTTACTTCACCAAAGTTTCACCCCCCAAGCCCGCAAACTATGAGGCGACCCAGGCGCTATGGCGACCGTTCGCGTCAACGACCGCGACCGCCGGCGCATTGTCACTAAGGTCCTGTCTCGGCAGGGCGAGGTTCGTCGAAAAGACCCTCCTGCCGAGCAGAAAGTGCTCCGCCGCAACGCGCAACCAGGCTGGCGCGGGAAACAAAGAGGGGTTGCGGCCGCCCCGCGTCCATTTTGTGCCTGCCCGGGGCCGGCAACAACGCCGACCGCCTCCCGAACGAGCACGGGGAGACGGCAAAGACGCCCCAAACGTTCGCGCCAAACCGAAGCGCCGCAAAGAAATTGAGATACAACAAAAGCCCTTGCTTACGGCAAATTGGGTCACAAAAAGCACACAAACCCCGATTACCCCCGCACACCCCCCCCCCGTCCTGCAACCGCTCCTCTTGTGGGATCCGCGTCAGCAGCCCGGGCCCGGGCGCTGATCCAATTCCACACCCGGCACGGCTGCAAAACCTGCGTCTGATAACTCCCCAGTGCGAGGGATGCCGCCACACGTCGGGGGGAGGGGGTGCGGGTGGCGGAGGAAGTCCGCCACGTTTGCCGGGCCTCCCGGAAACAGCGCTATTCGAAGCAAGCCTGCTGTTAGCATTGGCCAAAAAGAGGCTGTATTTTAACACAGGATGTTTGCTTGGTTCTTTCCGTTTTAGGCGCCGAGTTCTTATATACCCTAAACAGGCTTGGGTCGGGGGGCGCCCCACTCCGCCCCGAACGCAATCAATGGCACCTCTGCTTGGGTCGCACTGGCGGGTGGCGTTGCCCTGCCCGATGCTTCTGGTGAAAAAGTGGCGGCGCACACTCGTGGACCGACCCGAAGCGCGGCGGAGGGCAGGACAGAACGCATGGCCACCGCGATTTTTTGGTGCGCCGGCTGCTTGTCCGCTACCGGCGGGTCGAGGCGCAGCGCCTCAAAGGGTGCGCTGTGCGATGGTGTCGGCGTTTGCTTGGGCGGGGGGTGCGGTTTGTTGTTTGCGGAGCTTCCCGGCCAAGGGGTGAAAAAAAGGAGATTGACGTGGCCGCTGGGTTTTGCAAAGAGTGTGTTTGTGCACGTTTTTTTTTTCGTTAGCGTTCCGCTCTAAAGGAGGCCTGGGGAGGCCTCAGCGGCGCTCCGAGTGTGGAGGGGGCCGAGGGGGAGGGCGTGTTTTTGATGCAGCTAGGGTGCTGGAGGACTCGGCCTGTGGGTGGTCTTCTTGCCAGTAGCTTCTGGGTTGGATTGTGTAGATCGACTTAGAAAAAACAATAACAACAACTTTGATCCAGCCCAAATGTTTGTTTGCGGGCGGTGTCTGTGTTGGATGCTACATCACCATATTTGTGTTTTTTGTATTTTTTTTTGCGATACGGGAAAGTGTTTGCAGGCAAGTTGTTTTGTCCTTGTATAATTTCGGCTTTGATGTTAGTGTGTTCTCAACTGCAGCGTTCTCCCCCCTTCCCCCCCAAGATGTTTTTTTTCTCGAAGCGATCTTGCATTGTTCCCTGTGAGAACTATTGCTTTTTTTTGGTTTTGCATTGATATAGAACGGCGTTTATTTGGATTGTAGTGTGTTAGTTGATATATATAGGATTGAAGTTTAACTAGCGGCATTGGGCTGCTTTTTCACTGTATATGTTACTATTTGCATTATGAATAACTACTTTGACTTTTCTTTGGTTTGGTTGTTTTATGGCTTGCGTGAGAAATGGTGATGACTTGCAGATATATATTAGTGTGTCCCATAATAACTTTTTTTTTCAAGTTTTTGCTATAAAGTTCACTCAAAGGCCTAGTTCTGAAGGACCACTCAGCTCGCTTTACCCCACGCGGAAGGCATGCTAAAAGCAGGCTTTAGAGCCTCTATTTTGTCAGAGTTTTGACGATTATGAATAACGTGAATTAACCTTGGGCTCACTATTGGCCATGTGCATCAACTTATTGTTTTTGTTGTGGAAAACATTAAAAAATGAAATAAATCATTTTCTCTTCATCCTTTGCGTCCTTCTACTAAGGAAAATAAGGCGTAGAGTTTTCGTTTTTTTTAAATTACTAGTTGCTTAGAACAATGTCAATGAAGAGTCCCAAAATAATTTAGGGCAATTCGTTTGAGCCTCAATGGAGGAAGGATCAATATTGGAGTAATGACGTTTGCTTTCATGCCGAGCGTCGGAAAGCCATGATGAAGAAGTATGACAATGAGCTCAGTAAGCTCTACGGACCAGATTCTCGGCTTGGGATAATTGTTACCCCATTTATACACCTTCAGCTTTATCTGGGGTTAAAGGCGAGTGAAATGAGTTGGCCACTGTATCTGTTTTTGGTCTATTTTGTTGGGGGAACGATGTCGTACAATTCATTTTTGGTCATCCATGAGACAACTCACTACCTTGTCTTTAAAACGCGCGTACTAAATGAGTATTTTGTGTTGTTTCTCAACTCTATTGTGTCTTTTCCTTATGCTATGATTTTTGAGAGTTATTATGCTGATCATCACCACTACCTTGGTTGGGAGCATATTGATACTGACGTACCTTCTCCGTTGGAAGGCAAATTGCTGTTCAGTTATGTCGACGATTTTTTATTTTTGACGCCTCAGGTCGTTTTTTTTTTCATGTACTCTGGCCGCATATATTTTAGAGAATTGAATTTGGAAGGGCCCATATTATCAACTATGCTGTGCAGCTTTCATTATATATATATATTATTTTTATTTTTACTATGAGCCCGATTATCTGTTTTGTGGTTTCCATTATCTTGGGCACAGGCTGGTATCCCCTTGCTTGGTATTCTGTCTCCGAGCATTATATATTCAAGGGGGAGGGCGATCAAGATACTTTGTCGTACCATGGACCCTTAAACTGGTTAGCCTGGGTGGCGGGATACCATGTTGAACACCATGACTTTCTCAATATTTCATGGACTCGTATAATCAAGCTTTGCGTGATTGCCCTCGAGTTTTATGATTGACTATATGTTACTGAGTCTTGGCCCGGTGCACTTTATGTTTTTTTTTGTTCCATAAAAAGGTGAATCAATTTTCTCGTCTTGCTCGTGAAAAAGGAGCTTCAACTCGGGAAAACTTGTTACCTACAGCAATTGAAAATGGATTTGTGGGATGGAACGATGTGGTTGTTAAATGCTCTTTGCGGAAATGAAGCGACCATGACGGCAAATATTTCAACCAAAAAAAGAGCTTTAACTGAGCCTGCAAACCTAACTCAAGAAAAAAAAACATGCTGGCTGAAAAGTATATATATATATATATATCACAGAAAACAGGGACATTAGAGATAACATTACCCAACTTTTACGTTGTGGACGCGGGAAATAGAACAGTACGAAGACTAAGAATGACATCTACCCATTTTTAACTTCTTATTTTGATATTTTGTTCTTTATTAGTTTTTCCTTGCAGCTTTCTTGCGTTAGTGATACACAAGAAAATAGCCTACAGCTTACGCAAGAATATATCTTGGCGGAGGACACAAAGGCTCAATGTAATTGTTTTGCGTTTCTTATTCAAAACTATGCTAGTTGATAGTGCATTCTACATGACACACAGTGTCAGCTCCCCAAAAGCAAACGCGCGCACACACACACACGCACAAATAAATAAAAATTTTATCTGCCTTTTAAATGAGTGTCTTTTTTTAAATAAATAATAATAATATTCTTTGTTTTTTAAAAATTTCTTTTCTTGTTCTCTCTCTAGCCCTATATATTATATATATACAAAGGATAAATAAGGAAAAGGTTGGTAGATGAAACGATTTGCTGGTTCTTCCTTGGTGGTGGTTTCTACCTGCCGCTATTTCTTTGGTAAGGGATGGGATAATGCCTCGCTGGACACTATCTTCAGTTGCATGCTTCGCAAACCTGAAGTGAACGATCGAATTCGGAGTCAATATGCTTCTACCATGGATCCTCGCGATGCGGACGTTCTTCGCCGTCTCGGAGAGGTTGCAAAGGAAAACAAGACCTTCATTCGGGTATTCCTCCCACCTCACTTGGGTGACCCTCATCGTCTCTTGAAGTGCTACAGCCTTATGGCTTATCCAATTCTTGACGATAAAGGTGGACAGTTAAAGGTGGAAATGGATGGACACCATCTTGATGCCTTTGCAGATCCTGATGATGACTATGCAAAGGTGGTTATTCCTCATATTGAGCTTGTGGAATACCTAGCTAAGTCCCTTTTGGAAACAATGAAATGGGAGGCCACCCCAAGAGGTGCTGCTTCGCTTCTTGAATCGCTTTATCGTGGGGCGGAGATTCCGGACCATGTCTTTCAGACTCCTGCGGTCATTGAACACATTGGAGATTTTAAGGATGGTAACAAAGTCACTCAGTAGAGGATTGAGAAATATAGTGCTATCATTCTAAAAGAATTTTTCTTGTTTTTATTACCAGGTTTGGGATTTTGAGTAGTAAGTAGTATTAGCAGAGGAAATATAGTTTTTTGTTTAATGGTGTTTGTCGTTTTCAGCATAGGATTGTAGGAATTTGACCGTTTACCTTGAAATAACAAAAACGGTATAACCCTGTGGATTTTGTTTTCTTTGAAATGACATTGCAATGCTACTGATATTAAGTAACAAATATACATTCTCTTCTCTTTTTCTCTCTCTCCCCCCTCCCCCCACGTAACATATCAATATATGTATGTATTTTAATTTATGAGCGTGCGGGCAGGATATTTTGTTTATTTGTCTTAAATTAGGATTTTGGGGTATCTGAGTGGTAAAATTGTGGATTTAAATCTGGAGTTATGGTGTGATAGGATGAATCGCATGTTGGTCATTCAAATGCTTCATAGTAAAGCCATGGAGCGAAGGATGAGGGCAGAATGCGATGTTGTTTTTGCTGAAGAAATGGGTTTTCGTGAACTTATTAGTTTAGAAGAAGGGTTTAGATGGGAAGAGATGCTTAATTGGGCTGAGCTGGAGGTATACCAGCTGAAGTTGGCTCTGACCGAGCAAGAAATGCTAAACCATTTTCGTTTCAATGTAGTGGGCTCTTTTGGACTTGATAAACTTGGGGAAAAAGAGATGACACTTCATTCTTCAATTATGGGTCTGCGAAACCGGTTGGAACAGGCGGAGAAAGACTTGAACTCAATCAATTCCAGACACACTGAGTTTCTGCAAGAGAAAATGCGGAAGTGGAATAATGAAAAGGAGGCGCTCGATCTTCAGATGGAAGAACTGCGCATCCGAATAACAAGACTGAATCAGGGACCTGATGCTCTGGCGCCAACCAAATCGCCAAGAAGCGGGGTGGTGGACGTAACGAGAAGCAGGACCGAAACTCCCACAGAGGGTATTCATATATCCTATTTAACAGAAAGGACGAAAGAAGCCCTTTCCCGGGCTCAGGATATATTATCATAATGTTGATTTTTTGGCCAACAATAATAATAACAACACAAAAAAAAAAAACGAAAAACAAAAAAAAACCCAAAATATATTGATTTGATTTTCTTCTTGCCCTTTTCTACATGTTCCATAGCTTAAACAGGACTGATATCATAGGCCTCCATATTGTGGAAAATTAGCATCTTAGGAAGGCGAGGGCGAATGAAAGACACACACCTCATCATGTTTTTTTTTCTTTACAGAGTTATAGTTTGAGTCTTTTTGCTTCCATTCCCGTTTGAAGTTCTCTTTTGCTTCACATCACATCTTTTTTTCTTAGTTGAATTTATGTTGCTGTATGGTGGTGGTAGTGATGCAACAAAGTGGCTTGCCAGGTTTTTTTATATGGTGTTTTTTCCGTTATTTTTTTTTTATTGTATACATGTGTTCCTTGTTGTTTTTCTTAGGGACAGTGGGTTAACAGGGAGGATAAAAGGGAAAATAGAACCGTGATGGGGCGAGACGTGGCTAAAGCACGGGGGAAAACGAAGCGGAGATCGAGAGGACCGTCCAAAAGTAAATCAAGAAGTGCTTCGATAAGGAAATCAAGAAGCGCATCCAAGGGGAGATCAAGAAGCGGGTCAAGGCGAAAATCAAGAAGCGGGTCAAGACGAAAAACAAAAGGTAAGTCGAAAGTGCACTCTATTGCCAGTACTCGGCGGAGCGCGGATATGTCTAGAGGAAATTCTGTGTTTGAACCGAGACGGAATTTTGACAAGCCGTCAGATCTTTTTCCACTTCGACTGCTGATGGAAGGTGACTCCTGCTTCCTGGATCCTCACATTTTTGAGTTGGAGATTGTACTCTACAGGCCGGCACCTGAGGAGGGTAATATGCCCCTTTTCTTTGACACCACCGCATGCCTTTTTAGTGATCATGGCGGTCAGACAGATTATGTAGGTGTTGGGCGCGCAACAACGAACAACAAGGGTCTTTCACGTATTCCTCATGCCGTAGTTAAGGTTGACTCAGATTCGGTGTGTTCCAGGAATTTTTTGGAACCTGCTGGGGGACCTAGTGTCATAGCAGGTGATGGTGTTAGTGTGAACCTGAAACGACTGACAATGTGGGGAGGGTTTTCTTTGTGCACGACACTTTTTACAGGAGATGCGAACCTTACTGAGGTATCCGATGCGTATTATGCAGTTAGGAAGCCCAAGTCCCAGATACCATTGGTAGTTGTTCCCATAACAGTGATAAATCCTTCTCAGAATTCATGTGTCGCATTAATGGTACGTAAGATGAAGGGAAATGCCAAGACAGTTTGGGAACTTGTCAGAATTGGCGAGCCAATTTTTCAGCAGGATGTCAAGGGTGTTTTGGCCACTCTGAGAAGACGGGGTCTGGTGACTCCCACCGGCTACCGTTTGCTTCCCCTGCATGGGCCAGATTACAGCGCTAAGGACGGTAGCGAAGGCAGTTTTTCATTTGACGATGATGATGATGAGGAAGATGATGTTGATGCTGTATGTAGCTCCATCGGTGATGAGAGCGAAAGGTTTGAGAATCTGCTTGTGAACGTGCCACCTGTGACACGTGAAGGGAGGCGTCAATACAGCGTTGGTCACTCTATAATAAATACTGTTCTTGAGACAGCTGACAGCTCAGATGAAGATGAGGTACTAGAGGATGCCCTTCGAGCAGTTGTCCCGCGCTATACCAGTCTCTTCCCTGTTCGTTATGAGGATAAGACTTACAATGTAGGTTCTCGCGACGAGGCGCTTGCACAGCATTATGTGAGTCATCGAGAGAAATATGGTCTAGGAAATGCCGAATCTCAATTAGGGAAAGGATTTGGTTTGCCCCCAGTATTCTCGCCCTTAACAGGAACTTTGCATCGACTATCGTATGGCAAAACTGAAATTGCGAGACCCAGCGCGCCGAATGAGCTTTTGGCAACGATTCCGTCTGTATCGCGTCGCAGGAGCGTAAATGGGAGACGTGTAGGACGTGCCTCCCTTTATTTACGTAGGACCTCTGTATTCCGCGGTCGTTCCAGGTCGCTTCGGGGTCTCAAGGAAAAGCGGAAAAAAAAGGGAAAGAGAAAAGGGCGACGCAGCCGCAGTAGAAAATCTCGCTCTCGTAGCTCCAGTTCCAAACGCCGGAAAAGCAGTAGGGGTCGACCACGATCGAGTTCGTTTAGTCGGCGAAAGTCGCGGGGTGGAAGCGCAAGACCGATGTCAGCGGTAGTCGACGCCCCGAATGGAAGCGGAGACGAGAGATGAAGACCACGTGTAAGACACGATGCATTTCTTCTGAGGTGAGGCAATAAAAGCCTTTGTGATTATGTATCGATTGCATGTGTTGTACACATTTGGAATTTCTTCCCTTTACATGGGGATGTACAGTCCTTCAATCTACGCTACTGGCATTAAGCGACGCGGAATCTCCCACCCGCACTCACATGCACAAAAGACAGGTAAGCAGACAAAGAGGGAAGTTAAAGGCACGGCAAAATAAAAGTGGACTGCCAGTGCTGCCGCCACTGTTGATGTACCGGTCTCTTTGTTTTGTTTGTATCGGATGGAGTGCGAAGGAGGCAAATCTTAAGCCGTGTTGATTGCGCCCGGTGAGAGGACGAATGTAAAAGTAATGCATGTAGGTTTATATATATATATATATATAGTTTTTATATTTCCTTCCAAAGGGGTGGTGGTATTTGATGTACGAGACGCACGGGATACAACCAGGAAGGAGACTTACACAACTGCGGGCCTTGTCGTTTTTTTGTTTTTGTTTTGCGAAGATGTGAAGAGTAACGTTGTTTTGTCAAGTATCTTCCCTTCTCCCCCTCTTTTTTTGTGTGTGTATTTGCCATTGTTTTCTTGTCTTGATACTGTTTTTTTTTCCTTTTCCGCACCTTAGTTTCTGCTTTCTGGAGTAAGTTGTCTGGCTAGCTGGCAATGCTGCCACACCCCATTCTCGCCACTGAGGATGATAGGGATTACATTCAGCGCAGTATTCTCTCTTTGCCAGATCAGGTTGGGAGTTTCTTTTCCCTCTTGGAGCGGGTGTACCTGGAAGGCAAGAGTGAAGAGGCCCCTATCGCACACACGCTGTTCCACTCTATACAAACTACACTTAAGTTGCTTGGGACAGTGCGTCCGTCCGCGTACAGAAAGACGGATTGCAATCAGGCAGTCGAGGAGGAGCTCCCCAAATGTCTGGAGCGGATGCGACGCTTGTTTCTCGATGTGGTTACCGTTGGGCCACAGTCTCTGGTGTGGAAAAAGCCCGTGACGCGGTTGGCAAAGGAGGCCGCACAACGTGCACAACACGCACAGATTAGGTTTTCCACTTCCTCGCTCCTTATAAGAAAGGGAGTTACGCGAGATGCCGTTTTGTTTCAACTGATCATCATCGTCTTTGTCGCTTCTCTTATTCTGGCTCTCGTCCCAATGGTTTTCATTCCTTGGCTTATGCCTCCACGTCTTGTTGGGATAATGGTGGGTTTATTTTCAGCGCTCTTTTTGTTGACCGCCAGTGGGTCAATTCTTTTTTACTTTGTAATAGCGGTACGGGCTCTACAGGAGCTGTTTGATCGAATGTTTGACGAAAGCATGCAGGGTAACTTGTTTCATCGCCCAACACTTGAAAGTTCGGATGACACAACCGCGAGGAGCCCAATACCAAACCCCTCGCGCGTCAAACGCGGCCGTGACACAAGGAGAGGCTACTACGCGATTCCCTATGGCGATTCTGTAGGATACATTGAGGGTAAACACGTTGACGCGCACGTCGTGATGATTGGATTTGACAGCAACTATCTTATTACTCGATGGAATATGGCAGCAGAGGTGATGACTGGATTCCTGGAAAGCGGCTGCATCGGCAAACCCCTGTCGGATCTCCTCATCACACCAAGTGGCGACGTTGCACGCGATCTGTCAGTGCTACAGGCGTCCAAAGGAGATGTGTTAAAGGTCAAACTACGCGCCTTTGCAACCGCGCCAGTGACACTCTGCACCATTGTAGCCCCCATTGTAAGCCTTGCCGGGGAAAAAATTGGAAGTATTCTGATCTGCGCAAATGCGAAAGATAACTTGGGAACGTTTTGTTCCTACATCCGTGACTACATCACGTCAGAAGTAAACGTCTCTCTGTCCGAATTATTGGAGAAGGAAGTGATAGAGTTACAGGGACGCGCTGATGTTGGTTGTCTGCGATCCTTTCTTGCATGCGCGTTGGACAAACATGTGCAGGAAGTGGCCCGGGAGATGCTTGCAGAGTGGGAATGGACGACAGCAGAACAGTTACTTGGACAGGCACTTCGATCTTCTACGCTGCACCACGAAAAACAGGTGGCTTCTACCTTTCCCGCCACCTTGTGCTTGCATCCAACGGTATCTAAAGCGATTTCTACTGCGCTGAACACTATAGGAGTTTCGTGTATAGTGAAGTTACAGATGCTGAGCCACACTGTAAATGTCTTTGCGTTAGCTGTGACTCTTACACCTCATCCCAATAGAAGTGGGTTGAGTTTAGATGGTGAGAGGCTGCGAGATGGCATTCTCCCTCTCCTACACAGCATTTGCGGAAATGTGTGCTGCGATGACAATAAAATTACCCTTCGCTTTCCGTGCCAGGTGACGGCCTTTTTGGAGGATGGTGAAGATGCCTTTAAAGCCTTTGAGGCCCGCGGAGAGCAGTCTGTTATTGATCAAACACGTGCCATTGTCAACTGTACAGTTAATGTGCTGGCGCTGATTACTGATTTAGTGGATCAGCACAATCTTTCAATGACGCTTCTTAAAACGATGTTTGTCTCACTAACTAGCGTCCGTACGCGAGATGATTTGGAACGACGTCTGAGGGCAGTGCCAAACGACGTCGACGTTATTGTTTGCGATCGTGGCTGGCTTAATTCTGCCCGTGACCTGATTGTCTCCTCTGATCATGCGGCTATTGTGGTTCCCCTTGTTGAAGCTGGTGTCAACGTTGCCTCAGCAGAGTTTCAGTACGTCATCCACACCCCTATTTCTGGTAATGAGGTGCGGAAGGCCCTCATGGACATCGGCACAGCTGTATCCCTGCGAAAGAATGCAGCCACAGCACAGGAAGAGCGGGAACGCATTTTGACTCTTCGACAAGAGTCTCCGTGGACAAAGGGAAAGCTGCTTGGCCGCGGTTCCTTTGGTGCGGTGTATGAAGCCACAAGCGACTTGACAGGTGGCAAAATGGCGGTGAAAATGTTTTATTTTTCCGCGGATTGCGATGCGTCTATTAATAAGTTACTCAATGAGATTAGGATTATGTGTAGTTTAAATCACCCAAATATTGTTCACTACTTTCATTGTGAGCGTAAGAACAATAACATTAATCTATTTATGGAGCTCTGCGATGCTTCGTTAGGGGACATCATTATTGGGCGGACCTCCGTACCGGCGTCCCTGACCGTGGTGCAAATTCTTCGCCAGGTTCTCACTGCACTTACGTACCTGCACGCTCGTGGTGTGGCACATAGAGATGTGAAGCCGCAAAACATCTTGCTGAAAGGGGACACGATCAAAATTACAGACTTTGGTACCGCGCGCGAGGGTCAGGCGAGTAAAGATGTGGAGGGCACACTGCGTTATATGGCCCCAGAGGTGTACAGGGGCGAACCTCATTCTAGTCCATGCGACATTTGGTCCGTTGGGTGCCTGGCATGCGAGCTCTTTGCCTGCCCCCCTAGGTTTATGGACAATTCCTTAGTTTTGGCAGGGATGGCGTCTGCTACCCCGTATTTGGCGAATGTCACAAGCAGCGTGACACTAAATGACTTTTTGCGAAAATGCTTTCATGATGACCCTGCACGGCGTCCATCTGCAGCAGATCTCCTTCTACATTCAATTTTCTCACCTGCCTGCAGCTCTGAGATGGAGAATCTTCCTACTGTGTTTAAGAAGGGTTCAACGAACAGCAATAACTTTTCCATTATATCTCAAAAAGACTGCATTTAGTAGTCTTTGCCGTCGCGCATTTTGTTTTTGTTTTGTATATGTGTTTTTTTTTGTTTGCTTTTGTCTTACTTTGCCTTTGGATGCTTTTGTGATTTCGTGCTGTGCTAAAAACGGGTAGAAGGAATAGGCAGCTCGATGAGGTCGAATGCCTGGGTGAGCGGCCAGCTCATTGGCCACCCTGTGTTCGTTGCCTGTGGCTTGATATATATTGCCCACAATGCTGTGTTGGAAGTCATTGATTTTGGCTTTTTGTTTTTTTGTTTGTTTTCTATTCTTCCCGTCCGCTAACATCCCTGGTGCTACTGTTGCCCTCCACGCAGGGACAGGCCTGGCGACTGCAGGTCCCCACAGGCCGCCCCTTGCTGAGTTTGGAACGAGGACCCAGTTTTCACGGATTGTTGCGTGAAACATTTGGCTTATGTGAGTGTGAGAGTGTGAGAGTGCGAGGGTGCGAGAGTGCGTGCGTTGGATGATTCCCACTCGTATCAGGGTTTGGGGCACGCTGAACCAAACTGTGATCTCTATGTTTCCGTTTGTTTCTTGGCGTAGAGGGGGAAATGATATCATCCAGACGCGTTTTTTGCATATGCTGTTGTCGTTTTTTTTGTTTTTGTTGCCTTGTTGGAATTCTGGAACCTCCGCCCCGCCACTTCACGGTTGCGATAGCGAGACGGGGAGGTTGTGCATTGACGTCTCCTTTGAAAAAAAAAAAAATGCTTTTTTTTTTTTGAGCTCGTTGCATCGTTGCGTCTTCAGAGGAGAAGGAAATAGAGAAAAACAAACTATACTCCTCTTCAAACTGCACTATAGTTGCCAGTAGCGACAACATGGATCATTGGGAGGGGGGGGGGGGGGGTTGATGTTTTCTCGGTGGGTTTCCTAGTTGTGATTCGTCTCCTTTTTTCTCTCTTCCTTTCGCTCTCCTTTTTTCTTTACTTTGCTCTCCCCTTTGTATTTTTCGTCCGCCGACAAAAAAAAAAAAGACGGCGGCACTGCTTTTCACGCGTCTTGTGTGGGTGCGTGGGCGCATCCCTGCGGGACAGTGCTGGGGAGTTGTGCGGGTGGGCGGGGGGAGTGTGAGTGGACTTGTTTTTGACGTATGCGCCGTGGCTGTGCCCGTTTTTGTCAATTTTATTTTTCGGGCAGAAATTTTTGTGGGAGAAGCGGTTCAACGCAGTCCAGATGCGTTGCTTTTTGACATTCTCGCGGGATGGCACTTGCAGCACAACCTGACTACCAGCTCCAGCGATGCTCATGCGACGGACGAGGCCGCACGGAGTCCAACAAGAGCGGCTTTGATACAGCCAAAGCGCAGTTGCTCAATAAACTACGCGAGGACACCATACCGTTGGGCTGGCACCGATCCCTGTAACAGTATTCGGCGGCCCACTTTGCGGCCGAGCTGGGAACTACTTCTTTACTGGAGTTACTCTCGTCGCAAAGGGTGACGTTGCACCCGGATCTTCGTTGAGACGTACACACGTCACAGGAGAGATGTCACCCTCGGCGTTTGACGCTTGAGGTGGTGATCCTTTCTCGCCCTGAAGTGAGTGGGTGTTATCTTTCACACGTAGCCGCCCGGAATGGGCACTTGGATTTCCTTAAGCGCCTGGTGGAGTGCCTCGGTCCTGAGGCGATATTGGAGCGGCGCACCGCTGAAGTTAGCCTGCGGCGTGGCACAACGACGTTGCAGGATGTGTATTGTGCCGCGTTTGTCTATGACCAGGATCCAATTTTGACGTGGATAGAGAGCGCTCATCCCATGCATACTTTTGGTGCATTTGAGGAGGATGCCTTGCACTGTGTACAACGCGCGAACGCACGTGGGCAGCTGTGCTCCCTTGAGCACTTTGCGAGGCGGCACGGAGCTGCATGTTACTCAACCCTTCGAGAGGCTCTCTACCCTGTCGCGGAGGCTGGCGCCGGAGATGTGCTGGAGTTCTTTATGAAAACACTCTGCCTGGATGCCTTGTGGTACTGCAGCGACACGGGTGCCACTGTACTTCATCACGCAGCCCGTGTGGGTCGCACGGAGTTGTTGAGCGGGGTTTTCCAACGACACAACGTCGCACAACATGTGGAGGTTGCAGATGACTTCGGGCGCATCCCCCCGATATGGTGCGGCAAGCGGCGGCGCAACATTGAGTTCTTGCAGCTGCTATTGGAGTTAGGTTCGCAGGGACCCACCACCACGGACCAGGACGGCCGCAGTGTGGAGTCGTTTTCGCGACTGCACTACGCCCTAGCCTCGAAGCTACGAAGGTTTATCACGCAGTGCATTGCATCCGCGCTGGATCTGGAATGAAGCTTTGGCTCTCAGCTCCACTGAAGCCAGAAATTAAGGCCTGAGCGGCGGACTCACCTTTCGCATCTTATGACACACGCGATCAGAAGAAGGTTAAACGGAACAACAACAGCAGCAATAACAGATATTCTCACATTGCTTATTCGATTTGTGCCTTATTGTTTGTTGTGTGTTTTGTTTTTGATAATACCTCTTCTCCATCACCCTTTGCGTGTCTTTGTGTGTGTGTGTGTGGAAGTTTGCTTTGGCGATCCATCCACTTTTTAACACAGTTTGTGTGTTTGTGGGGTTTTCTCTTTTCCTGGTGTGCGTGTTTGTGGATTTGGCGGCGGTGGCGAGGAGCTGTACCCGCTGGGTGTTTGCTGGCCTCCCTCCTTCCCCTGGTTTATTTGCATACAGACACCATAAACAGCTGTAGTGTGAACAGTGAGAAAAAAAGACTCCCCTTAGGTGGTGGCTGACGGTGCCGATCTTGATGGTTTGCTCAGTATGTGTCTTGTAGCTATTATAGATCTCTGCCCACTCGTTGTGTTGTGTTTTTATTTTTATTATTGTTATCCTGTCTTACTTTTTTATTCCTCTGCGAAGTTACAGATAGGAGAAGCGGGGGGGGGGGATCCCACTGTGCTCTTCGTTGTGGAGAATAGGAAGCGAAACGGAAGAACAATAACAACAAGAAGTAGGGGAGGGTGAAGGGGACGTCATTTCTGATGCCGTCGCAGCACTCCTTAAACTCCGTGCAAGCGTTTCTTGGCAATGTGCCGGCGTCGTCTGTGCGGGAGGATCTGGGCCTACAGGATGTGCCGCACAATGATGAGGGACTACGGCGCCTTGCCGCGGATGCAAATTGGAGCGCTGTGCTGTTGTTGGCAGAACAGTTGGTCGCTGAAGTGGACGCAGACACCCCGCAAGAAATTTCTGCCAAGCTGCGTTACACCCTTGTGCAGGTGACGGCGTACTTTAGCATGCAGCGGTATGCGGCTGCGAAGAAGTTGGTGGATGCGTTGGGTGACCTCAACAGCGATCGATTCACTGACCCGGCAACAAACGAGTCTGTAGTGCCCTTTTCTCTTCGTTTTATCGGCGCCCTCCTACCTAGCTACTGCGGCACCCCAATGGAAACACAGCGCAGGCTGTACGTCTTGCTGGGCGAGTGCCAAAAACATGCAGGCGGAGCGGCGTCAGCTGCCTGGGGCACCCGCCTCAAGCGGGTTCAGCGTGCACTTGTAGTGAGCCACTACCAGGCAGAGCAGTACGCTGAGGCAATGCGGTTGTCTGAAGCGATGATATCGGCGGAGCGGTACGACGATGAGGAGGGCGCGGACTGTAGGGTCCTGCAACAGATGTTGCAACTCCAGCGGTTTGCGACGCTATGCTTGCGTTGCGGCAACCCGTTTCTTGCCGAGGAAGTCTTTCGGGCAATTGCGGGTCTCAACACCGTTGACGAGACGGATGACGTCCGGCAGTTCCATCGTTTTCTGCTCATGGTCAACCGTGCGCTTTGGCTGACGTTTAACGATAAAGCGGATGAGGCTGCGCACATCTTTTGCGAAGTGGCACGTGGCACGAGTGAGTTTTGCCGTGGGCTGAGCACGGTGACGCAGCCCACCGCCGTTGTTCCCACAGTCTCCTCCCAGCCACTCACTAGTGCCACGGCTGGCTTAGCGGCTGTCAGGGCACAGTCGGCTCTCTGCCGAAAGGCGTTTCACCAACTATGGGTGGACGCGGCGACTTCGCACGTGACATGCATCCCCTACGAGGCCAAGCGTAGCAAGAATCCGACCACCGTGATGACGGACATTATTGACACATTGGAAGGCTACCTACGAGAGAACCCTGTGGAGCTGTTGCACTGCGACGCGTTTTTGGGCAACAGTGCGCGGTTCTACACTCTGGAGGGCGGCGCACAGCAGAAAAAGATGGAGCTGCTGGCGGATATGCTTGAGGTATTTTGCTGTGAACGGGGGTGTATTCCGCCGCTGGAGAAGATGGTCTAAATGCACCAGGATAATGCACGCATTGATCGATTTGTGTTTTCCCTCCTCTCTGCGCGGGACTGAAGCCTGCTTTTGGTTGCCTGCTTCGCAGCACTCATGCAAACGCACACTCTCTACTTTGCCGTCCTATTTTTTGAGGCGTTCCCTCCACTTCCACCCTTTTTTGTTTCTCTTCGCTTTCTTTATACGTGTTTTTGCAGGATGTAGGCGATTGGACCCCGTTGTTTAAAATCTTTTGTTTTTGTTTTTCATGCCTTTTTAAAAATATTGCCGTCTTTTTCAGCTTCTTCTCCTTCAGCCTGACCCGATGCAGGAGCCTTCGGACTCTATGGGGTCGAAGGACCTGCACGGTTTCTTCACCAGCGGGTGTGTGCCGGGGCTGGATGGCGCGTCATTTGCTTCGCCGGTGGCGGGAGAGACGGGGGTGCTGGATCAGTTACGTCATGCGCATGCCGCAGTGCAGCAGTACGTGGCAGCCGAGATGGGCACCTACACTGAGGATTGGAAGCTGCTGGGGAGGTGCACTGAGGTGCTGGAGGGGCGGTACCAGGAAGTTCGAGACTCCACGAAGGAAGCTGTGCGAGAGCTGGGAACGACAGCGGAGGTGATGGAGCGACTACTTCCTCAGCTTGCCGATGTAGACAAGGTTGAAGCACAGCTCGCCACACTAACGGAGGTGGTGAACAGAATTGACGAATACAGCAAAGCTCTGGCAGATCGTTTTGAGTGCAACTGAAGAATTCTGCACCATGCGAGGGTTTGCATTTTTATCCTGGCCGGATGATATACACGCGTCTACATAACACATATGTGTGTATGATGTATGCCTGCGTGTGGGGCTTGCATGCATGCGAGAACACAGCTTTTATATGTCTTGATGTTTGCTTCGTGGGTATTGGCAGACCTTGCTTTTTTGTTTTGATTATGATCTTTAATTTGGTTGATCTCTTTCCACTTCCTTTTCTTCTTTCTTTTTATCTCTCTTTGCTGTTTTGTTATGGCTTCTTCCATGCGCTGTCAGCCGCAGGCAAAGCGCAATCGGCGAAAGCGCGGGGATGCTGCGTCGTAGTGGTGTCACCGGAGAGGCTGAGAAGCTGTTGACTGTCAATCCAAGAAGTTGCACGTTTTCCTCCTCTCAGGCTGTTCTCGCGGTGAATCCACGCGGCGACGGGTGTATCAAGAGTTCGGCGTCGTGCATTGAGGAGAGCGCGCGGAGGCGGTTTGAGCCGTGGGAGTTGGGCCTCATCAAGTGTGAGGCGCTGCAGGAGTATAACTTGCTGAAGAACGCCTCGGAGCGGCGAGAGATGGAGCGGGAGGAGTCGATTGCGCGGGAGGAATTGATAGCCGGCGCGACCTCATTTTTGGCGGCACTGCTTGAATGGCAGTTGGAGGCACGCGGGAAGGTCGAAAGTGATCGTCCCCTGTCGTTGCTGCTGGAGCGGCTGCAGAAGCGGGAGACGAACCACCAGCACCAGTACCAAATTTACGAGGAGGCGCTTCGCGAGGAGGGCCGCGTAGGGTGGAGGCAGGAGGTAGAGAAGAAGACGAGGCTTCGGGAGTATGAGGCGGCGATGGCTCAGTGGCGCCGCGAGTGTGAGGAGACGCTGCGCGCCGCCGTGGCTTTCCTACTGGGGATGCAGACGCGGGAGCGCCAGGCCGAAGCGGCGGAGGAGGAGGCGGCGTGGGCAGCGCTCTGCGCACAGGAACTCACCGACCGCGCAGAGGCCGAGCGGCTCGCCTACGAAAATTTTATGAAGACGCCGGAACAGGTGGCGTTGCGGAAGGAGCGGGAGCGATTGGAGGCTGCCGCAAATCGCGCGGCAGCACGGAGGTTGAAGCAATTCCTAAAGGAACAGGAACATTTGGTGAAGTCATGCACACACGCGCGGGGCCATGTCTCCTTTTTTGAGGGTGCACTTGCGAAGAAGTTGTGCGTTTCCTGTGGGGTGAAGTTTGATGAGACGCTTGGGTACTACGTGCGGATGCGGGGGCGGACGATTGCCCCGCCCTCGACGTGGACGCCCCCGCAGCCTCCACCGGCGCCAGAGCGGCCGGCCCGCCACAGCGTCACGAAGCTGCCGCCACTGCCACCGCCGGCCAAACAAGGAGGGCGACGAACGCTACAGGGGTAGGCACCAAATGAACCCAGCCACACGAATAAAGTGAAGAAAAACAAAAAGGCATAGTAGCGCGAGCGTCTTGTCGTAGCTCTTTGTAGTTCCTTTCTAGCCCACTTTCATTTGCGTTCCCGTTTGTTTTTGTTCCTTTTTTGTTTATTTTGTTCTCCTATTGCGAATCCTGTGAGAAGCGAAGGAGCGCAGGAAGGGGACGTGGTGCAGGCGGGGAAACGAAGTATGTACAAACATGGCTCGATAAAGAAGACGCATGCCTGTATTGCGAGTGTTGTGCGAGGTGCACCTGTTCGGGCGACGGCGGAAACCTCGCTCTTTGCCAGCCGCCCGCAGGGACTGTCTGCCCGTGTGTGTGTGTGTGTGTGTGGCGCACCGGCGAGGAGGGGAATAAACACACATGCAGAGCACACAAAGGTTTTTCGTGTTTCCCAGAGTTGTTTTTTGTTTTGTTTTTACTTGTGTGTGCGCGCTTCTGCCCTCCATTCGTTGCGTCTCTGAGGTCTTCGTGGTACCTTGAGCGAATCAGCCCGCCTGGCTGTCAATCGAGAATCTCCCTCTCCCGCCCACTTCTCAACGAAAACACATAAAAAAGAAGGAACAACGGAAAGAAGAGAACACAACAAGCACGCAAAGGAGGAAATGAACAGCAGGGCCGCAGGCCACAACATCAGTAGCATTCAGAAGGATCAGGCGTACCTCCACTCGCACAATGTCCGCGGCATCCTTGAGCGACTCGTCGCCGACGTTTTGCGAGAGAAGCCGGAGAACGTATGCGAGTACATGGCGGCATGGGCGGTGCACCGGCGTGGGGGTGGCGGCGATGGCCCATCCTCTGAGGCTCCGTCTCTCACGGGATAGAGCAATACCAGCGAGACGCGAAAAGTGATGCCGATGTCAAGGAGGACGAAAACGAGGTACACCATGGACGAAGAAGGTGCGGGTTGGTGGCCTGTTTTTGTTGCGGCTTGCTTGCTGAGTCGCGTAGAATGACGTCATAGGCAGCCGTAATGGCGAGCATCATGACGCCTTCAAGAATTTCCCCGAGAAGTACATTTATTTTTCTCTCTCTTTTTTTTTTTTGTTACCGCCTTCAACGATGATGACAACACGGAAATACGCAGCGCAGGTTTGATGACAGAACACGCAGAAACGACAATGGGCAGCATACCGTGCCTCATACATATACATGTACACCTATATATAAGTATCCATGCAGGTGGGTTAGCGTTTGTATTTTGTGCCGTTGCCTGGGTTGCGCTCTTCATGATTCCCGCACGACCCGCATGCGTGATGACGTTGAAAGGTGCCCGAGGTGATGTGGAGGAGTTAAGGTTGGCCACCGTGCCGTGTGGATGTGGGCGAAGAAGGTGCGCAAGCAGGTTAGTCGAGAAGGAGTGTGTGCGTGTGTCTGTCTGTCTCCTCTGCATCGTTTCTCCCCTCCGAGACTGGAATTAATAGAGAGCAAGAGAGAGAGAAAGTGGGAAAGGGGCGATCGATGAACACAAAGTAGCGGGAGGGAAGATTCAGTCTGGTGTGGATCTCCGTGCATGGGTTCACAGGCACTTTTGCGCCCTTCCTCTGCGCGGCACCATTTCTCCTATGGAGTCCCCTCCCTCTCTCTTTGGTTGGATATCCTCGACTCTGCCGGCGCATTTTTTTTGTCTTTTTTCTTGACGCACGTTTGAAGTACACACAAGTCTGGATCAGCTGTGTGTCTCCACAACACCCACGGCGTTTCCCATCCCTCCCCATCTTCATCTCTCACGCCTACGTGCAGGCACGTAGACGCACGCTTTGCGTCGATGCCCGTCACTCCTTCTTGGGCACCCATGTACCTCTGATGACTCCTTCCTTTTCTTTGCTTCATTTTGTTGGTTGCGTTTGCTTCTCTCTCTCTCTCTCTCTCTCTCTCTCTTTGTGTGCGTGTGTGCGCACCGTGGCGTGAAGCGAGTGAGAAAAAATCGACACGCAGAGCTATTCTCATGAAAAGTCCGTCACGGCTTGGTGGCCTTTGCACAGGCGACGGGCAGATGAGGGCTCGCAGTGGCAGTTGCACCAGCCGAGATGCGGCCGAATGCAGCGGCGGCGACAGTGACGGGGACAACGGCAAGGATGTGGGCGCCGCTGCCACCACTGCCGCCTGTTCGCCCACCTGCAAACAGGCCTCGCTGGCTTCCTTTGGCCAGCAACACACTGAAGATGGTGCAACAGCAACCGCAGCTGCAGAAACGATTAATAGCTGCTGCGGTAACCACAACACCGACACGACGGCAGCCTGGCCTGTTCTCAGTAGCGGCGGCGACGAGACAGAGGTGGCAACTGTCACCGTGATGGTG